TGATGTGCTGCTTGAACATTGACACTTTTTTTGCTCCAGAAATTGTTGCTATTTTTATTATAAAGAAAATAGGACTGACAAACTACTTTGGAGTGCTCTATGTCTTGGGTCACCATAAATTGGAATTGATTCAATAGCACGTACTTACGGTGATTTGACACTATTGTGTTTTATTTGCTGCCATATATTCCTGTGAAATATCAATGGTATTGTATTGTACACTGCCCTGCAATTTGACTTTGATGAGGGATAGTACAACAGTGATTTAAGTATATAATACTAAAGGGCAAATTTATTGGAACTGAATATAAATGCACTGGGAGAGTGATCTCAATGGTGTGAGATAGCTTGACTGTTTTACCTCTTTAGTTCTAAACTAACATTCAGATTGTTATTCTTATGGACTCCCTTCCTGTTCCTCTCCTAGTTAGAGAGATATAGCAATTTACAAAGGATATCCCATTCTATTTCCAAGCAAACCTAGAAGCATGAAGTACAACTCTAAGGGCTTTTATAATTTTATGCACATAACTGTTAATTGTTAGATCCTGCCCTACCCCACCCCCGAGCATGGGGTGCCAATGCTATATAGATTTGAGCATAATAGCAGCAAACATTTATTTGACATGTTAAAAGGTAATTTTTTCCATTTAAGTGTATTGCTTATTAATTGTTGCTTCAGCTTTAGCTACAAAATGAGCATTGATTTATCTATGAATACCAATTAGTTGCACATGTTGCAAACTGTTACCTCATGCTCCAAAGAGTTAGAGAATTAAGTACTTACCACCTTAAAAGCTTGTTGTGTAGGTTCATCATGTCCCCAAACTGATGTGATGCAATCATCAAAATAAAGACTGTGAAATGTAATACAGAGGCAAATCACAGATCCTCTTCTTCTACTGTTTAAGCTTGGTATGAAATGACTCACTCCATGAAGAAAGAAGATTGTAGATGTAACATCTGATGCCTCCCTAGTCACAGGAAGATGTTCAACCTTCATGATTTTAACTTTATTTTTCATATGACTATCTTTTAGTCTAGAATCCATTAATTTCCAGTTCTACTCTCAGGGATAAACTCTTGTCTAGAAATTATTTTGTCCATTTTCTCTGGTAGCCTTAAGTAAAGGTTGCCTGATAGTACATTTTGATCTTGAGAAGGAATCTTTCAAGATTTTCAAAAAATGCTAGGAAAGTGGATTATCTTCTTGAAAAACTCTTCAAGGGCACTGGCAAATATATATATACACGAAATAAGAGTCGAGGCGGGAAACCTAACTTAAAATCTACATTTAGCCAGAAAGTCCGTTGGTGACTATGTGTAAAGCATTAGCTCTTAGTCTAACCTGCCTCATACAGTTGTTGTGAGAGTAAAACATCATTCTTCAGCTTCTTTTGTGTGCTAAATGAGAGGAGTATCTCATACATAGGTTTCAGATGTCTTCTGGTTTTACCCAGAGCATTTGAAATATTCTTTACATCTTCCTGTTTTTAACCTGCCGTGTCCCCCTTCTCTATCCATTATTTTGCTTTCTTCTTATTATTTAGAAATGCTTCTGACAAACATTTATTTCTAAAGAATCCCTTATAGCAACTCAACGGATCTTCAAGGTGTTTCTCTTCCAAAACATTTTTAAAAGGTTGTCTGGTCAAGTTATGCTTCAGTTTCATGAAAAACCGTAGCATGAAGTCATCACCAAAGTAAAAAGTCAACATGAAAGGAGAGCAGTCTGTTATCTACAAATTATATGGATAATTTGATGGCTGTATTTAACTTTCAATTCAACATGACCAGTTCGGTTGCTAACAGTTTGGAATTGTGCCAGCCTGTAACAGTTCCATGCCTGAAATGACAGTTAGTGACCAGTACCCACAGTAGAGAGAACTAAGGCTGTAACTAGATCACATCCATGAATTCCACTGCAGCTAATCAGAAAGCAAGATGGGGTCATGTGCACGGCTTGAGGCAGCACCAAGCCTAAGGTGCTTTGCTATGGCATCCCAGAGAGGCAAGACTATTATGGGAAACAGGAAGATAGGGGAGGAAGGAGTTGCCAAGAATTCAACAGGGGGGGAGGAGAAGGATAGACTGTCTGCACTGGACTCCCTTTTGGGACTATAAAACAGCTCTGCTAAAGAGACTGGGAAGGTTGTTGGAGGGAGTGTCAAAAGAGAAAGCCCTTCTTTGGATATTCCAGGAAGTGGGAGAAGGCTCTTTAATCTTCCTTAATAGGGGAAGAGGACGTTGCCTAGCGTGGTCAAGACAAATAGGTAAAGCAGGGTCTTGGGGTGGGGATACCAAAGGTGTGCTGTTTTGGGGGGAGAGGATGTCCTTCTTGGAATCCCACCCATGCATCCTGGAAGTGAGGAGGCTATGGGATGCACTTGTGGTGTGAAGGTTGAAATGCAGCACCCCTTGCCTGCCCAGCTCCTGTGGCTGAAGAGATTTCCATCACACACACACTCCAAGAGACTCTCCAGTTTTCTATTACCTAGGAAAAAATGGGGGGTGGGGGAGAGGGTTGAACCTGACCAGCCCAGAGTTCACATTCTAGACCAGAGACCAAGGAAGGAAATGGATGGGAAGACAAAGTTAGCCTGATAAGTGAGGGGAAAACCCTGATTTGTTCATTCTCACAATTTTCCAGCATGACTTTCTCATATTGAGAAAAACACATTTAGCTCACCAATAATCTTCAGTGTGTACATTCTTCTGCTCATGGAATTAATATCCCTGTGGGTGCTGTTTTTCCTAGTTAAGCAAGGGAAATGATCGCTGAGCTACGGAGGAGGTCCTCTTTAATTTAAAAAAAGTAGTTTTACAGAATGTATGATCTCGTATGTACAAGACAAGATGTGGAGTTTATAGTCTTTTTTGTTGGTTTCCCTGACATCTTCCTCTAGTGACCAAGTCAAGGAGACCACAGTAGGGCATTGAGCCTCTGATCACCATGCAAGGCAGAGTGGTGAGAGTGAGAGAGACAAAGCAGGAATGAACAATAGTTTCTTGCTCTGCAAAAGGTCCTATGGGGATCCACCTAGATGAAAGAGGGGTTTTTGCATAGTCTTTGAAGAGCAAGAAGACAGGAAAAATGTGTCTCTGTGTGTACCATCATTCATGGATTTAATTCATAAAAGAGGCCACTTGCCTTAAGTCATAAATGGAGCACATCAATCAATAAATACACGTGTGGGGGAGTTACTCTGACTTTCCTGTTTTAACCCTAACCTCCCCACCCCATCTGTTTGCCTCATTTTTCCAACTTAGTTAAGTCTGTTATAGAAAAACTGAGAGGAAGGCCAGGATGTCTATGACTAGGAATCAGGGCTTTCCAGTGGTGACCACATCTTTGTGGAATGCATTACTAGTGGAAATGCACCAGACCTCTTCCCTCCCTGTATGTAGAAATCATGTAAAAGTATTGCTATTCAAAGTAGTATTTCAGAATATTGTTCTCCTTTAAAGTTGGTGTTTTATATGATATGTATTAACTTGTGTTCTAGGGGTTGCACCAAATGTGGTTTTTGAGGGGTTGATTTTATTTGTGATTTGCGGTGGGTCCTTATGTTTATTATTATGTTGTAAACTGCCCGGAGTAGTGGGCAGTATATAAATTTAATAAATGAACCACTGTGGTGGGTTCAGGGCCACTTCGTTAAAATGTTTTAAAGCAGTTTGCCCAAACAAAAAGCGCCCAGCGAGCTTGTATATGTAAGGACACACTATATCAGTGATGGCGAACCTATGGCACGCATGCCACATCTGGCATGCGAGTGAGCGGCTCACCCACCCACCCTTGTGGAAACAAACCTTTTGAAGTGGCTGCAGCTAGGATTCCCTTTCTCTTCCTGTTCTGGGTCCTTCAACTTCCTGTTCATCCCCATGATTCGCCCTTTAACTTCCTGTCCGTCCCCATGATTCCCCCTGAAACTGCCACTTCTTGTTCCAGTTCTGGTCTTCTGGGCGGCATGGCAGCCACTGGTTTCTTCCCCACCCCCTCATTTTGGGCACTCGAGCAGAAAAAGGTTTGCCTCCACTGCTCTATATTATCAGGTTTCCCATTGATTTGGTGATGTCATAATGAAGTGACTGCACAGTATAAGTTTCACAGTAGCCCAATTCCTGTTGCATAGTGTAAACTGAACTGTAACTTTCAGTTTCTTTCCCCCCCAATAAACCATCCCTGCTGCGAATCTTAGGGACACAAGCACACACTCCAAGAATCACAGGAGGGACACTGTGTTTACCAGGAAGGAACAGGCCAAAATTTACAATATAGCTTATGCCAAGCAACAGGATTTCAGCCATACTGTAATACTCCATTTGCAAGTCTCTGCAACAAAGATGTCTACTTTCCAGAACAGCATGCTCCAAGTGTCAAGTTTTAAATAGGCATCCATGTTGAAATTAATGTAAGTACAGTGGTGCCTCACTTAGCGATGTTAATCCGTTCTGGAAAAAACATCGCTAAGTAATTTAATCACTAAGCAGTTTTTAAAAGCCCATAGGAACATATTAAAACGCGTTTAATACATTCCTATGGGCTAAAAACTTACCTTAAAGCGAAATTCCTCCATAGCAGTGGCCATTTTGGGTGCCTCTACAGCGAGGCAAAACAGCGGCGGCCATTTTGTTTTTGCGGTGGCCATTTTGGAACCGCCGATCAGCTGTTTAAAAAAGTTTGCTTTGCCATGATCGCTTCTCTGCGATCATCGCAAAGCGAATTTTAGCCATAGTGGACATCACTAAGCGATCGCTCCAGCGATGGTCAAAAGTCCATCGCAAAACGATTTCATCGCTCAACGGAGCGATCGCTAAGCGAGGCACCACTGTAGTAAAATGCAAAATTGACACAGAAATTTTACGCTGATTTGATGGGAGCAAACTAACAAATAATGTGAAAACAAGTCATGTGAGAGACAGACATTTAGGAATAACTATTATTTTCTTAGGTTGAGTACAAAATTCCACATAGATTAGTTTACTGCCAAATACAGTCTTCATAACAAATCAATTTTGTGGGTTTCAGCAACTTTAATGTCATAAAAATATGAAATCCATTTTTAACCACCCTGCATACATTTGGTATTTTATGTAATATACAAGAGAAAAATATATCCAATATAGTGGCTATCTTAATTACTTCATATAACATAACAAGACAATGACATTTTTCAGTAATCAAGTTACAGATATTTTCAAATGAAGTTTTGTTTTATCTCAAATCTGAGATGAGTAAAGGCTCATTTGAGAACAGAAATCTCAAGCAAAGTTGTATAGAGCCAGTCTAAATATGTCATTGGAACAAACCCATTTGTCATTAATGTTCTTGAGGACAAACAGCTGGTGGAATCCCATCACTGGATCATCATCCACCTATATAAAAAATTGACAAGTTTACCTTCTATTTCAATGTGTTCCTCATACAAATAATATCCACAAAATAGTTTAAACATAAATGGAATTATAAATTGGATTTTCCAGTACTCACTTTTGACTGGATTATACTTTATATTATTCATAGATGGATCTATATCCACGCACTATGTAGCATGTAAACCATGCTAAAGGCCTCTAGATATTTTGGACCACAGCTCCTGTCATCTTCAGGCAACACAATCATTGATTTGCTGGCTGGGGATGATGGGAGATATAGTTCAACACATCTGGTAGCCACACAGAATACATTCCTTTTTAATTGCTTGGTGGCAATATTTCAAGCAGTTACTCAACATTATGTGTGAATGCCTCAATGATCAATCTTTAATACAGTGGCAGTTAAATGTAAAATATTTTGTACATGTAGCAACCAAGTAAAGGTTCCCCTTGACCATTTATCCAGTCGTGTCCAACTCTAGGCGGAGGTGCTCATCTCCGTTTCCAACCCATAGAGCTAGCGTTTGTCCGCAGACAACCAAAGCTGCAACTAATTTCCAAACTTACCTTCAGTTGACCAACTATCATACTAAGGATACAATTGTCAGGAGCTGGTTGATGATCTTGGGATGTTATGTTGTGCTGAATTTTTTGGAATGGCAGTCTCTGTTTCCAAAGAAGAAAACATAATGTTCAGATCTTTTAAAGAAGCAAAAGGACACTGATCATGTTGTTGTATATATTAATATATACAACAACATGATCAATGTCCTTTTGCTTCTCTGGTCAAACATTTGGGCTTAATTATGTAAAATCATGAGAAGCATACTAATTCAATAAACAAAACCACTTCAGTAATGTTTTTAAGTGATAACATACCAGCAACTTTTCCATAATTGACGCTTTTCCTTGAAACTGCTGCCCTTCCCATGATAAGCAGGAAGCATCTGTCTGCAAAAAGTTACAGTATTTCAGTAATCTATACATTAAACAGTAGCATAATAGTGAATAATCCCAAGCCTTTCCTGTCTGGCAAGACCTGCTCAGTGAACATCCCCACCCTACCTCTGCACTACAGAACCTTTCCAAAGGCAGGGACAATATTGTGGGGGTACCTGACCCAAGATGCAAGGACTTCACATGAGGGCCCCCAATACAGCAGGTGAAAATACATATTTTTCCTATATGAATATCCAGAAAGACTGATTGTGAGAAGTCTACCTTTAATCAGTTACTGCATTGAAAATCTGCAACCAGGTTGAATTTTACAAAGAAAAAACACAATCACAACGTTGAAGGCTTGAGGAGGGTTAGAATAATACAGTGAATGCCCCTGTCCCAGCCGCTCGCTGGCATCCGGTTTGCCATTCTAGAGACCCCCACTCAACCCAGATGGCAAACTGCAAGTGATGGTTCTCTTATTGGCAGAAACAGACAGAAAGCTCCAAATTGAGCCACTTTGTCTTCCTCAACAGAACCAATCTGGATCCATCAGCTATACAAGTCTGCTATATCAATGAGGAGACCATGTTGATACTTACATAAAGAGCTCCTAATTGTTCCCTATTGTTATCAAACTGTTGATAATACAATTGTACAAAACTTGTTCCAATTTGCTCCCAAATAGGTCTTTCTGCCATTTTACACACCTGCAATAAAAAAGAAAAAAAAAGTTACGTGTTTCTAATTAATAGAACCGAGTTGTGTACATGGAAAATCCAGATAGATAATTACAATGACCAAGCATATACAGTAGTTGTAGATGGTGCATGTGCTTCAGGTGATTTCAGTTGACACTTGCTGGGAGGCACAGCGCAATGACCAAGCATATACAGTAGTTATAGATGGTGCATGTGCTTCAGGTTTCAGTTGACACTTGCTGGGAGGCACAGCAACAAATTTAACTCCCAATCCTTAATGGCCCTCCCCAATGAGATATAACAGATATGCCGTACAATGACTAATATGGATAAGTGTAGGCTGATGGACTACTAACACATGTTACTGTCAAGGCTCCTGACTATGCTATTCACAAGGCCCCACTGGTAACTTGTCCAAAGACACTGCACCATAGAGCTGAAGTGAGTGGGCTAATAGGTCATGTATTCCTTCCTCATAGTTAATGCCAGTTTGACTCCCATTGTCCTCCTTGGAGAAGAACTAGCTTGTGTAGGCTCAGGCGACCTACACAATCCTAGAGCACCACCAGTGGAAGGTGCTGGTACATCATTTCTGAGTGCTTTATATCTAGGAAGCTCTGGGGTCACAATAAGTCAGAATTAAGTTGATGGCATAGAATTATATACTTAGAAAATAGAATCTAGGTTTCCTATGTGCAAATCCATTATTCTAGCCAATAAAATTACAGAAAAGAAAGCCACATGGCCCGTGTACAAAATCACAAAACAATACCTTTGTTAGACAGCTAAAATCTGAAAAACAGACACAGGCTAGCTTTTGAATTCAGCAGACAAGAAGTAGCAGTGCTAGTGAGAGGAGCAGAAACTACAGTCTGACAAAGCCTCGTAATACACTTGAATGCTATCCATTTAGGAGAGGATTTGAGATCTTTATAAAGGTTTCACCCATTCTCATTTTTGGATTTTATACAATGACACTACAGGCTTTACAAATGGAGTACTTAACAGACACCTAGGTCATTGTTTACAAGCACAGCAAAGAATTCTTTCATCACACAAAGAAGAGAAAAGTACTACAGTGAACTGAGGATTTCAACTCCTTCAGGTCATTAGGCATTTCTCTTAATTTGTCTTCAGTTTATTACTTCTTTACCTGATATGTAAACTAAATGTTATCTCCAGATTTTCTGATATGGAGATGGCCATGTTTCTGGATGCCTCTGTTCCTATGTGTTTCCAAATAAGGAAACAGAACAGATCTCAATAGACTGGGCCTTGGTTTCGGAACTGAAAAAATACAATAAAAATCTATGTACCCTGAGGTGAAACCAGGTCTCTCAAGCTGATTCTAATACACTGCAACATCTATTTTGAAGCTCAGTTTAAGCAAGAGCCTAGCCTTAACATCTGGCGAAGATTATTTGAGGGACTTCAGGAAATTTTCATTTTTCCCTCCCAGCTCTGCAATCCCTAGCCTGGCAGAGTTGTGGAAGAGCTGAAAACTACTGGGTGTCTGTTTTTTTGACATATTGAAGACCTAATAATGGTATCAATCACACTTGTTTTAGACTATAACTAGTTTTTGATACTGTACTTACACAGAAAACTGAAAACATTTATTTAAACATATATCCCCTCAGAGTGCCTACTTTTGTGATAATACTGTACTTAAATGTGAATGCAAGGGGCTATTAAAACTGGTGGTGAAGAAAAGCATTTCTTAGTAATATTATTGGTAACCCAAAATACATATGAAATCTGACCCAGTGCATGTTCCCATGGAAACAAATATTTCAGTGTCCAGTGAGGCTTATTCTTATATATGTATGGATGAAAGTACTGTATTTACAGTACTTGGAAGGAAATTCCAAAGCCTCTATTTCATGTAGGTGTGCTTGGGGCAACAGCCTGAGGACTAAGGCTGCATTCTCCTGTACCCAGTTGCACAACAAGAAATCCCATGGAGAAAACTGAACTAACAAGCAGAAGACTGTATTGTGAGGCAGGCCCTTAACCCACAGACTCTCAGGTGAGGATCAGTAAATTCCAATTTTTTCACAAAATATACAAGAGTCAGGCCATAAGGCTTTCATCATGGATGCATCTACTAGGAAGTAAGGCCCCTTGTGCAGAGCAGAACTTGGACCTGAGAAAACCCACAGACTCTCAGGTGAGGATCACTAAATCCCAAGGGACTTAATTTTACACAAAATATACAAGAGTCAGGCCATAAGGCTTTCATCATGGATGCATCTACTGTACTAGGAAGTAAGGCCCCTTGTGCAGTTCAGAACTTGGACCTGAGAAAACCTTCATAAGGTCAGTCAACAACACTTGGGCAAGAAAAATTTTTTTTTGAGATAACCTGTAATTAGAAGAAAATCCTCAGAGTTTTAAGAGCAGGAGCTTTCCTCATCCCCGGCGGCAGTGGTTTAGTAATCGGTCTTCAGAGAGACTTAAATAGGGGGTTCCTTTCAAGTCTGACTTTCCAAACACAAAAGATGGCCTCAATTACCCCTCTCCAACACTGCCGTCCTTTCATCCCTAATAAAGGGCTTCCTCTAACATCGGTTTCAGAGATTCCCCTCACTTGGGTCACCTCGCCACACACTCACTCAACCATAGTTTTCCCTTCAGCCTGCAGCGTGGTCAGGGCTCATTTTCCTCCCGGGTAAGGGGCTGACAATGGCAAGCAACTACTGTTCGGTGGTATCTCACAAACTTGTGAAAAAGCAACAACCCCGAGGTACTTTATTTACATTCCCCACCCCCACCCTCGCCCTACTTTCCAGAGGCCTCCATGCCCCCTCCTCCGCCCCCGAGCAGGCGGGTTGCGGCTTCTTTCCCTTCGAAGCTACCCCAAACACCCCTTCAGCTCCACACGAGTCCCAGACAAGCCCGTGGGGACCCCGAGGTCCCTCCAAAGAACAAAGGCCGCCGTTTTCGGGGGGCCCTCGTTGCCCGGGCGCTCGACTCACCCGACCCACTCCTTGCTGGCTCGCACGTTGTGTGATTTCCTGCGCGCGTCTCTTTTCAAGCGGCGCAGAAGTCCCGCTTTTATCTCCGCCCTTTCATGACCCGCAGCCTGGAAAGAGCGAAAAAGGGGGCGGTGAGGGCGTTGCAAACAGCCTCCCGGAAAGGATCCAGCCAGGGGACGCTCGCAGACAGGCATCTCAAACGTGCCGCCTGAAATACACGTGACGAGGAAGGCGTCTCTTACTCACTCGCCCGCCCCTCCCCCGGGCGACACGCGGCCAAGGGACGGGATTGACGGGATCTCGACCCACTTTTGGAAAGGGACGAACATTTGCAGCTTTATCTGGAGTTTTGGCGCCACGGACTCTCCAGCACAAACTTTTCCCCTCCCCAAAGAGTTCTCTTCGGGCTCGTAAACACGCGGGTCAAGGTTGCTTATTCTCAGTGGCCCTACAGGTGGCGCCCTTGAAGCGGGCATGCCAATTCTGTACGTCACACCTTCTTCAGCCAATGACAGCCTCTGAGCTGACCTCCTGAAAAGGAATTCGAATTGTCCGGCATTTGGCTTTGACGTCTGCTTTTCAGATCAGCGCTTCAGGGTAGTCCTGCAGAGCTAAAAGAGGGAGGCTGCAATCCTTTCTATGCTTATGTACAAAAAAGACTGCGCTGATACTAGATGCAAAGAGAAATTGGTACTGTATAACTGTTGCAAACTTTGCAGCAACAGATCTCACTGGAATATAAGAGTCATTTGTTTCCCAAAGTTCTCGTTTATGATCATGCACCATGATGCTGAATAGTGAATTGCCAGTCATTTTGCCACCAGTTATTTTGCGACAGAAGGCTTGTTAATCTGTCATATTACATTGGTGCTTCAAGGTAGCAGGCCTAGATGACAGCCACATCAACTGGATAACAAATTCTGGCACAGTAATAAAAAAAGTTGCTTCTTAATTACTTCAAGAATTGTCTTAACTCAGGATTCTGAAAAATTTGGAGAAAATCATGAATGTTTCCTATCCTGAAACAAAGATCCCATAGATGCAAAACTGTCTCTAAACATCTGTATTATAAGAATGATATAAATTTACTTAACTCTGATAAGACTCAAATATGTACCTTTCATCTGAGAAGAAGCTGGCATCTTGGAAACTATAGGTTACCCAGCTAGATCATTGATTTGTCCCCAAATATTTAGGTGTTGTGTTACTTTGGATCATGTGCTGACCTATTAAGAAACATTGCCAAATTAAATTGCAAAAAGTGCGTGCAAGAAAAAAATATTCATTGGAGTCAGTTTGGGCATATAATCAGAAATACGAGGAACTACAGCCTTGGCTTTGTGGTACCCTGCAGGTGACATGGTTCAGTCCATGAGAAAGAAGAAAACATAGCACTCAGTGAAAAGTGTAGTATCATCACTGGATTCTCCATTAATAATCATGTGCCTAATAAATTATGAGCACATGATTATTGGTGACCCTTTTTTCCAGGTAGGGAATATTCAGAAGTGATTTACCATTCCCTTTTTCTGGGGACACCCTGCGATCGTGAAGTTTGCCGAAGGCCACATAGGTTGGATCTACTCACAGAAATCACAGTAGGAAATCAAACTCCTAACCTCTGGCTCTGCAGCTAGATACCTAACTCAAAGAGCCAGCTGGATCCCTGACACCAATCCTTATTGATAAAATCGGCTAATAAGCAGTGTGCCCAATGACGTACGGCAAGAGAGCAGCTAATAATGAAAAACTCAAAGCATCTATATCAAATGTGTTTCTACTGTTTGGCTGTCATACTTCCTCTCCCAGGTTAAAATCAAGGATATCTGTGAATCTTAAGCAGGAGAGTGCCAGGACTATGATGTGGGGGAAAAAAAGAACTACCCACCTCTTAAAAAGGATGAAACTCCAGGAAAGTCTTGCCTCCGGTCACATGGAGAACTGGGAGAAGACAGGAGAGTGCCAGGACTATGATGTGGAAAAAAAGAACTACCCACCTCTTAAAATGGATGAAACTCCAGGAAAGTCTAGCCTCCGGTCACATGGAGAACTGGGAGAAGGGCACAAAAACAAATGGCCTGCCCCTTCTGCAGTGGGTGCAAAGAAAGCTTTGTGCCAGTTTCTGGGAGGGATCCTCCCTCCATGAAGGATGTGCTCCCTCCCTGAATACTGCCACATCCTTCCACCCCCTGGCCCATCGCTGAAGTCCTTTGCCTTCTCTCTCCTCCCTACCTTTAACCTCTCCCAGCCTGTTCCCTCCCCAGTTTTGAAGTGATGGTGGCGGAGTCGGTGGCAGGACCAGTAGGAGGGCAAGGAACAGCAGCCATGATGGTGCTGCCATGTCAAGGAATGATGACGGTGGTGGGGATTTTGCAGGTTATTTGGTTATCATAAAAGGGGGTCATGACTCGAAAAAGGTTGGGAGCCACTGTGCTAGTCCCTACAGTCCAACCATATTTAAAGGGTCACAAAAATCAAAGCAGACATTTCCAACACCTGTAGCATATGATTTCTGATGGCCCCAGGCAAGAATTCTACAGTGAGCTCACGAAGACAAAACTCATTTTAATCATGTGCTAAACTTGCAAAAGGGTAATGATTTCCAATAAAAGGAATTATAGGCACATTATTGTTGGTGGCAGTTCAAGTCTTTTAAGGGTGACCTTTCGGCTCAAAGCTGGGATTCCGCTCTAAATTATATACTATCCTCTTGCTGCATGCAAAGGTCACAAAATCATATCCTCAAATCAATTTGCTTTGGCTTAGATATCTCCAGCTTCCAAAAGATACAGTTTCAGTATACATTTCTCTTAAAATAAAGCAAAAACAATATTCTCTTACTCCCAAATCATTATGTATGTCACCATCCTTTCCTCTGCTAGCTTTAACTACTGTACTATGTTAATACTGAAGAGCACCATGAAGTTAATAATGGCTACTGAAATTTAATAATTTAACAAAGAACTTTAGTAAACTGAAAAGCTACATTCCTTATCTCTTCCAAACGATGTTTCAGAAGATAGGAATAAGCCATTTGCTCTTCCTATGCTCTTGTTCACAGGTGTCCATTAGAGATAGGGGTATTTGTCTACGAATACGAATATCCCCGCACAGGTGGAAATAACGAGGGTCTGGTCCCATGGGGCCAGACTGTCCACTCACGATTTTGCTGCTGACACCGGCTCCGTGGAGGCTACCTATTGCGCTGTTGTCTGCAATGGATTACCCACTCCTGGCAGGAGGCGGGATGACAAGCCTCTCTGCTAGGTCAGAGAGTGGCTAAACCATTGCGGAGTACAGCACGATAGGAAGCCTCCGCGGAGCTGGTGGCAGCGGTGAAATCGTGAGTGGACAGTCTGGCCCCATAAGGCCAGACCCTCGTTATTTCCACTTGTGCGGGGATATTCGTATTCGTAGATGAATACCCCCATCTCTAGTGTCCACCCTTTCCTGGTTTGTACAACCGGTTTACCATGACATCCCACAGCAAACTATGATTAAACAGGAATTATCTTTAAAACATTTGATTTTAATTTTTCCGTAGGGCTGGGCAACTGTTACTCTCTGGAACTCTTTGGACTCCAACTCCCATCATTCGTCACTGCTAACTATGCTGGCAAGGGTGATGAGTTTCAATCCTCCACCACCTGGATGGCTACAAGCTGCACATCCATTGTTTACATGTAGTTCTTGCTTAGTATAAAGTACAAGCTGTCCAAACTGGATCTCACTGCAAACTATGGTTATGCAAACCAGTAAAGGGAGAAAAGAATCCAGAAATGAAAGGGGAAATAATAGGGAGATGTTGCCTGTGACTCTGCAGTACATTTCTGGGCCCCAAACCTCAAGGAACAAGAATGTAATGTCTCAATCAAGACAGCTTTGCAAGTTTACTTAGTATGAGTGGGTCCATCTTCTGCTTCCAGTTCATCTTCCTCATATAGCAGTTGATCTTCATCTGAAAATGCTATTTCACTGTCCCAATAATCTTCACTATATTTGTCCATTAGATATTTCTGGGGTGTCAGATCATCATCTGAAGTTTTCTTGGCTTTTTTCTTTTTCATCTTCTTTTGCTTTCGTATCTCAGCTAGCTGTTTTTGCTGCTGCTCAGACAGCCCAATGCCTTCTATTTTCTTGTCTTCCTTCATTTTTTTATATTCAATTATTTTCTCATTTAATGCATCATGATCAATTCCAAACAGATTGGAATGGACAGGGGAATGTGACGAATCCAAATACACGTCTGTCATTGCAGAACTTTGTTCACTGCAAGAAAGAGAAATTAGTAAAATCTGTAGCCCTAGTACACCCAATGCATGCGCCCTTTTGATTTATTTATTTGGCCTGCTTCCTTTCCACTGCAGCCAGAAGGCTTCCTCTACTCTCAAGATACTTTTTTGCAAACAAGACAGGGAGCCACAACTAGGGAAAAGACACAGAAAACCCAATTATGCAAGCAGTCCTCTGCTTGTGTATCTCTGGATCTAACTTGGTGTGATCACAAATCTCTTTAAAATGTACAGTGGTGCCCCGCATAGCAATCACAAATCTCTTTAAAATGTACAATTATTTTTTTCCTATAAAAGATATTTTTCACTGATTGTGTGTTGTGTTTTAAAAACAACATACCTAATATTACTTTGAACTGGTTCATTTTCTTCAGGCCCAAAATCAGCAATTGCCAATAACTTCTCAATCTGTAATAAAGTAAATAATAATAAGAAATTAAATAAAAGTTTTAAAACTCATTTTATCAATGCACTGCCTTCCAAGCTTGAAATGCCTCCTGCACTGCTAGAAAATTGTTTCTATAAAATACTATAGTAGTACTTCAATGTATCTGGAAAATAGTTTCTGTGGTAGCAGATGATTTTGGGTACTCCTGCAATATCATACCATTTAAGTGGATAGGAAAACCTTATTCTCCCTACACAAAGAACAAAGATGATTACGAATCATTGTTTGAGGACAGCCTAAGATTACAGATCCAACAGCTACAACATCTAACTAGATTATGGACTTCTTCATTTATCCCCAAACTCTAATTTTCTAACATGGTGCCTAATGAAGTGATCTGAAGAATCTGAAAGTTTCCACTTCTGTGACATTTTACTGGTCACCAGGGAACATTTATACATTTCCATTGTAACACACTTAAAAACTGCCTTTACTCTGAATAATCTTCTGTCTACCAATTTCCTTTTCTGTTTAACTAACAATTCCCAATTTCTTTCTATTTTCTTAGCACTGTCATTTCTTTCTCAGGTTTTTTAAGAGGGTCTCTTTTCAAATTGATAGGATCAAATCCCACTCCATATCCCAATTGAGAGAAAAATCTCTTCTATTCATAAAAGTGGGAGAGGAGGCAACATTTCCTTCAGTGCTCTTGCCTCCAAAGATTCCCTAATGTTGCTGGGGGTGGGGTGGGGGAGCAGTATGGGCTAGAGCTGTAAATAAGAGAAGACTACTATCAATACTTTGGATCTTGCCCTTCATTTTTCTTATAAGGCCTAATCAGTGTTGTGTAAAGTGATATTCTCTTAACAGATTGTTATGAATACATCTCAAAATGGCTTTTTTGGGGGGGGTATAAAGTGGCAGAAGTGGAATTTGTGTACTGCTCATTACTAACCATCTCCATGGTTGAATTAATTCATTACTCATATTAACAGATAATATTTATGGGCTTTCCTCCCTACCTTTCTTATAATTTCATCTTCCTTGTCTTGAATAAATACTAGAAAAGGAACTTTTCTCAGGACTTGATGTGTAATCAGAAAGCACCTGTAAAAGAAAGAAATTAAATCTGCTACATTTGTTAAACATGTCTGAAAAGATTGGGGAAACCAAGGGAAAAAGAGAGAAACGTACTCTTTTAAGCAGCAATGAGCAAATTGCTACAACCTCTACAGTATGTATTCTGTACGAGAATAACCCATTGTTCTCAAAGTGTGGAATAAGCCCACTCTACCAAGATGTCTGAAGAGTTACATTTTTTTCTTTTTGAATTACAATTCTCAGAATTTCCCAGCTACCGCAGGCACTGGGATTCTAGGTCCTGTGGCCCAGAAGAACCTTCTCAAACTCTATTCCTGGTTTGTGACCAGACCCATGCACTGCGGCCAAATCAGCCCACTGTAATCTTATTGGGATTTTCGATAAATGGAGAAAGGTGCACAGAAAGCAGGCCATTCTTTTGTCTATTCAACCAAAGAAGCGTTCGCTTTTGCAGTTGGTCTTTCTAAGTCTCAACCAAAAAAACAACACCAACAACGAAACAAAGGGGAAATACATTATACATGTGGTTATGTAAACAATAAGATGCACTTGTTTGTGTATATATGTGACTTTGAATATCTGACCCTGTATTACAGGGACTGACCAAACTCCAGGAGGCAGTGGAAGACAGGAGGACCTGGCGTGCTCTGGTCCATGGGGTCACAAAGAGTCGGACATGACTTAACGACTAAACAACAACAGTATAACAGGGAGACAGCCCTTCTGCTAGCAATACATATTCTTAGCTCTAATACACACTGACTCATTTAATGAGGGCAATATAATTTACAGGCAATTATGTTGAAACACTTCTGAATACAGCAAGACAGTACCTTATATCTGCAGCGCTCTTGTTCAGAACTCTGGCTACATGCTCATCTTTTTCTGCATCACCTGTAGACCTCCAATATAAATTGCATGCTGAAAAATCTGATCCGACAGATGCCTAAAAGAATTTTTAAGAACTCACTATAAGTGTGCTATTCTACAAGATGAGGAACTGAAAGATTTGGAGCAGAGAAGTGGAAATAAAGTTGTTAAAAGGAAGACTTAGGTGGGGATGATACATGGGGTGCTGATCTAGAGCTAGAGAAAGTGCTTCAACCAGTGTTTCCCAACCTGAGGGTTGTAATCCCCAAGGGGGTCGCAAAGTATTTCCTGGGGGGGGGGTCACAGGTTACCTTATATGTGTTGCAGCTCTTGTCAAATAATTTCTTCCTTGATCTTTTGGAGCAGGGTATTAAAGTTGATGTGCATGTGCATGTATGAGAAACAGGCCCTCTGGGAAAGAAAAAAGCCTCTGCTTTCTGAGAAGGGATGACTGGGACTAGTTTTTATAAAAGAAGAAAAGCCAACGTAAAGGTACAATTGCTGCTGCTTTCATTTCTCACTTTGGGAGAGCCTAAAGAAGGAAAGGGAAAAAGGAAACCACGACCCCCACACACACACACATACAGAGGAGGCAGACACAAAAACAAATGGCCTGCCTCATCTGCAAGGAAAGCTTTGCACTGCTTTCTAAGGGGGATCCTCCCTGCATGCAGGTTTTGCTCCCTCCCTGAATACTGGCACATCCTTTCACCCCTGGCCTCTCTTTGAAGTTCTTTGCTGTCTCTTTTTCCTGTCTTTAACCTTCCCCAGCCTGTTCCCTTCCCAGTTTTGAATTGGCCGTAGCAGAGTTGGCTGCAGGAGCAGAAGGAGGGCGAGCAGCAGTAGCATCAATGATGCTGCCATGTAGGGGAACAACAACAACAACAACGACCCGTTTGTGCTAATGTGGCCAGAGTATGTGTCACAGGTTACTTGGCTATTACAAAACGGGGGTCACGACTCAAAAAAGGTTGGGAACCTGGCCATAGCAGAGTTGGCTTGGTTTTAAAATGGCCGTAGCAGAGTTGGCTGCAGGAGCAGAAGGAGGGCGAGCAGCAGTAGCATCAATGATGCAGCCATGTAGGAGAGATCTACTATAAGAAGTTCCTGAAGGGCAGCCACAATTACAGCAAAAATGAACAAGGAATCTTGGAATGCCTCAAGGGCTTAATCAAAAAAATTATTTTGCTACAGGAAAATGTAGAGAGCTAGCCCTCATCTGTGCTGACTATTACTGAATCTCACTATGATTTAAGAGAGATCTACTATAAAAAGTTCCTGAAGGGCAGCCACAATTACAGCAAAAATGAACAAGGAATCTTGGAATGCCTCAAGGATGAACATGTTTCAGCTGGCATAAGCTTTTCTCAACAACAGGCTATTGATAAACAGCTTCCACTGAAATGGGCTGAGGTGAACAAAAGCTAATGTCAAACATAACACATTAGTCTTTAGCATGCCATAAGACCCAATGTTGTGCATAACCAATGCAAGCTAAAGTCTTAATTGTGCATTTAATCATGACTGATTTCAGAGCAGCCTCAGATGTTTTGGGATATTCCAAAACGAGAAAACAATTTTAAAAGAATTACTGAAATTCAAACCAAATGAACAAAAGAAGAAGAAAAAATACAGTATGCTTACAGAAAAAAGTACTGGCCAAATCCTGTTGCTTAGCATAGTAAATTGCAGAAGAGTAGGTCTATTGAGTTCATGGAGATTTAGTGAGTCAACCCCTCTATAAGTTTCATTGATTTAAATGGGCTTACTCTAACTGCAACTTACTTTAGCACAATAAGTTGCAGTTAGAGTAGGCCTACTTGAATCGATGGAAATTATGGAGGAGCTGACTCACTAAATCCCCATGGATTCAATGGACCTCCTCTTCTGCAATTTACTATGCTAAGCAACAGCTTTTGGGCAGATGTAAAAGAAAAGGAGAGGAAAATATAGAGTATGATTATACACAAGAATGTAAGCATATTCCATAATCCAACACATAAACAACAATAAACTGGTCTTCAGAACAGTTAAGCGAAGCAAGTCAGTAGATCTCTGCCTGTTCCAATGTGTAATAAAAAGATTGCAACTTAAAAAGACTGGATACAATTAGCTTCATACTGGACTTGCCTTAGACAATTCCACTTGGAGGTCATAAACTTCTTGGCCAACTTCACAGGTACTCAGCACATCCCTCACAGCTTCTAATAACAAGACATCTAGGGTTCTTTTACGTATACTATGTTCTTTACTAAACCTGGGCGGAACGCTTTTTGGCATGTTTGCCAAATTGGCCGGCTTGGTAACCTTTAAAACAAAGAAATTGCAAATTATACACCAGGTATGACAAACTCTGTTATTATACGGCATGCGTTTTTAAGACCCCACCATGGCTGCTGCTTTTTCTTTCCACTATTGTTCCACTCTGCATTTTTAGTGGGAGCTGGACATTCAGAAAATAAAAACAGGCAATTGCTAATGTAATTGTGAAGGGGCAAAAAAATACAGTGGCATAAATTATTAACTTCTTTTTAACTCTGTTTGCACGTGTATGTATGTATGTATGTGAGAGCCAGACAGACAAATAGTTACTTAAAATCAGATAATAGCATTTCACATAATTCAGGAACACCGGGACTACTATTTTATATATTGTATTCTAAAATATATTTTACAAATATTGCTTTTTTAAAAAAATACAGATTTCTGTAACAATTTGTAAAAAGCAACACAATATGCTTCGTTTCTCATCTTCTCATACCAGTGCCTAACAAATATTATACATCACTCATAAAGTGTATGTGTACCCAGGCAACAAATTTATCTGCATCCTCTGATAATATGTCAGTTTAGTTAATAAAGTGATGCTCCAATGTGGGGCTGGCCAGGACCCACACCTCTCAGGCTGGTCCAACTGTGAATGGGCCTTCTACCTTGGGTACCCCAGCAAGGGTATTCCCCACCTGCAGCTTCCCAAAAGACTTGGGGGCTGGCAACAACACTGATGGAGCAGTAGGAAGTGCTAAGGAGGAAAAAAATAGGGTGCGGCAACCCCAAAGGGACTATATAAGGAGTCAGATATGAAGGAGGATGACCTCTGGGTGGATGCCAGCAACTGGGAGGTGTGTCAGGTGGAGACAGTGGAGGAAGGCACCGGCACGGAGGGTTGGAAAACTGTCAGGAGATGCGATCCATCGACTGGCCAGTGGGTCAAGCTTCTAGTGCCTTCTGAGGAAGTAGCACGGGTAATGACGCAATCAGCAGCAGCACTGTGATGCCTGCTAAGCTGAATACCACTGAGGGGCCAGGAGGCAATGGAGGAGAAGGTGCAATAGACCTACAGCCCCTGGGCTCCACTGGTGACCTCTCCGGCAACCAACCTTGCTCAGCCCCACAGCCACCTGTCACACCTCCTCACACTCATCCAAAACCTCCTGTGAACAAAGTCCTCTTCAATCTAGAGAGGACCAACACAGCTCTGATCATTGCTTACGGGTCCATCTGAGAAGATGTGATATCTTTGTATAAAGCAGTGGTTCTTAACCTTTGTATCCTCTTCAATCTAGAGAGGACCAACACAACTCTGATCATTGCTTATGGGTCCATCTGAGAAGACATGATATCTTGGTAAAGTATCTGTTAAATTTCAGATATGAAAAACAGTTAAGTTACAGAACGAAAGGAATCTTTTGGTTGAAAATTCTTACCAGCTCAAAATCCAGTGTAGGATTATCATACCAGAACTTATCCCTTTGGGGAAAAAAAGAAAAACATTAACATTATGCATTTAACAGTTGAAACAGTAAATTAATAGTACAGCATTTCAAATCTGTGCCCATTTGCTTTCTATGACTGAGTACTGGTTTAGGAGAAAGGTGGATATAAGTCTCTTAAATGAATAAGTTCTGCTCAAGGAGACCAGTTTAGAAATGCAGAGCAATTCAGAAATACTGTATCAGAAGTATTTTTCATGCTTAATTTTGTTTACCTCAGCTCACAGTACGGCTTCAGTCATTTTAAATGATACTGTACATCCATCTGTGCAAACACACACACACATGGTATATATGGCTCAACTCTGTATGCTGGCTTTATAATTTACTTGTATTTCTTACGACCAATCAGGTTCTAACTGCCTTTACTGTAGTTACTTATATGTGGAGAAAGGCAATAACTAAATAAATAAAAAAGAATGTGATAAAGAAATCCGATACTGTACATCCATCTGTGCAAACACACACACACATGGTATATATGGCTCAACTCTGTATGCTGGCTTTATAATTTACTTGTATTTCTTACGACCAATCAGGTTCTAACTGCCTTTACTGTAGTTACTTATATGTGGAGAAAGGCAATAACTAAATAAATAAAAAAGAATGTGATAAAGAAATCCTATCTGCTTGGAATAGCTAAGTGGATAAAGATTCTACAGTTCAAACTTCACCTCGATCAGTGATCAGTCAGGTTCTAACTGCCTTTACTTACATATATGTGGAGAAAGGCAATAATTAAATAAATAAAAATAAAAAAGAATGTGATAAAGAAATCCTATCTGCCTGGAATAGCTAAGTGGATAAAGATGCTACAGTTTCAAACTTCACCTCGATCAGAAATCCTGGGTAATTTTAGGCAAGCCACTTACATATATTCTCACACTTCTTCATCTACATTTATAGAGTAATACTGGTCTGCCTAGCACAAGAATTACACGTTACTGACATATATTTTAGAGACACTATGGTCAGGATTCAGGATTATTTTATAGTTCAGAGTCTTGGGAGGGGGGAGGTATCATTTCAGAAATCACAGAGAACAAACAACAGAACAGACAAATCCAACCCAAATTGGACAGGTCTTTCCAACCCAGATGCAGATCTTTCCAAATCAGATATTTTCCTAGGCATACAAAGTACAGCTCAATTCTGCTAATGAGCATGGATGCTACGGATCACCAGAAAGATAAATACAGTAAGTGGGTTCTTGAGCAACTCTGAAACCTCAATTCACACCAGAATTTAAAATGAATAAACTGAGACTCACCATGGCACTTACCATGACAGCCCCTGGCAGTCACACCCCAAACTAAGACCAAAAATAGTACAGGCAACTTTACTGTTTTGTATCAACACACCAGTACTAGTCAATCTCCTATCCAAAAGCAGATCTTTTGTAGAGTGAAAAGATCTTAATTGTCTATTTAAAAGGTTGGGGGGGGGATACAGATTTTGCTGGGGAGGTTGTGTTAGACACAATCCACACGGGTTCCAAGCCTTACAAATCCACGTCTGTCCAGGACACGGATCTTACCAGTCAGTCACAGTAAAAACAAAGAATTCTGGGCCATCTTAAAGACGAATCAACTTTTATTTGGTATACACTTTTGTGAATGGATCTGATGAAGTGGGCAGCTAGACTTAACGAAATCTTATGCTTAATAAACCTCGTTAGCCTGACAGATGCCACCTGATTCTTTGTTATTTCAAGACAGAATCATCGCCGCTCTTCAAAACCCAGGGCCAACACAGAATAAAAGCTCCCTAGTTACACCGCCCGGGTCCGTCCAGTCATACAAGCGCTCCCTGTTGCCTCGCGTTCAAGGCCCGCTCTGGGCGAGGAAGGGGAAAAAAACACCGCTTACATTTTTTTAAGGAGGTACCTCCTGAGCAACTTCCCTCTGCTGCAACAAGCGGCCGAGCAGTGCAAAGGCCGGGAGCAGGAGGATCTCAGCGGAAAGAGGCTTCCATCGCCACCGCCAGGTGCGGGCCGCTGCGACCACCAGCCTGCCGCTCTGGCTGTCCCGGGAGTCGAAGTCGCCGCCGCCAGCGCTTCAGCGACCGGCATTCCATGTCGAACGCTCCACATTGAACGTTCGCAAAAACCTTCGCACCAAAATCACCCCCACTCCCACCCCCACCCCTCCTGCAGAGCAGCCGCGACTCCGTTCTCCCAGCTCACAGGCAGGAGGAGCTTAACCTCCGCGCCCCATTGGATAGGGCTCGCCTTACGTCTAAAGCCAGCTGCCTTCCTTGCTGCAAAGCCGGCGATCGGTAGTGCGCAAGTGTCTCGGATTCTTGTTGCGAAGAGTGGCCAAGGGATCTGGCAACGCTAGACTTTAAATGTAAAATATGGTTGCTTCGTGACGAGAAGTCGTCTCTCGCTTAGAACACCCCTCGTAATTAATGCCTTCCGAAGAGTTCTATTGACAGCCCCTGCGCGTTATTTATTTATTTATTTATACCTCCCCTTTCCCCTTAAGAGGACTTAACGGCGGCTTACAATATTAGAACAAGCAACAGTAAAAGCAAAAAAAAATCCTCCAATAAGTAATTAAAATACTGGAAAAGCATTTTAATCGTTATATTAAAAACAGATTAAAATAGATTTTAAACGATGCTAAAAACACACGTTTTTAAAAAAATAAAAGACTACATTTAAAAGCCATCTCTCTAGAAACAAGTTACTGGAAAAAAGCCTGCTTGGAGAGAAAGATCAAGCCCATGGTTTCCTTTATTGGATCAAACCATCTGATATTACATCTCCCTGTTTTCCTGCTGCCTTCCACTTTCTTTTCCAGTGACTTTGTTTTCTCTTAGTACTGTACTATGTCTAGAGAGTATTATAGCCTCAAATAGGTCATTTTGAGCACAGGTGAGTGTGTTCGGGCTTGACTTGATCTAAGGACTACTTGTTTGTCTTTCTTTCTGAACCTTCATCAGTAGTTTTAAGTCATTGCTATTTTCTGCTAGTGATGTGTTCTCTGCATTCATTAAATTACTTCTGTTTCTTCCTCCAGTTTTCACTACTCATTCATCAAAATCCAGTCCAGCTTTTTTGTAAATGTTCTGCATATACATTGAACAGATCAGGAAATAAAATATATCCTTGTCTGTCACCTTTACTGTTTATTTAATCTGAAACCTTTTTGTTACTCCATATTCTGTCCTTACACTGGCCTCTTGTCCAGAGTATAGGTTATGTCAGAACAATGGAATGTTGTTATGTCATTTCTCTTTGAACAATCTATAGCTTTTCATGATTTATACAGATGATGGTTTTGCTATAATCTTTATAGCACAAACAGCTTTTCTCCTGAAACTATTTGATGTGCTCTTATGCCTGAGTATATTTATTTCTGAGTAGATATAGGCTGACTCTGATCTATGTACAGAAGACCCATTGAATTCAATGCAATGTAGGGTTATTACCCTTAGGTTCAGACCTTAAAGATTTTCTTTACCTTTAGGGAGATGTCACAAAA